ACCATTTACGTATTCTGCCAATTTTTATGTATATACATATGTATATACGCGATCGTCAGTTTTTTTTTGTTCTTGTGAAAGAACGTTCATTTAGATGCAGCATAGAAAAATGGGAAAAGGTTGCAAATGGTGATGCGAATACGCCAAGATACGACAGGAAATTACGTTTACGCTAATAAGACGCACGTTGCCATTTCTTGTTACTGATGGTTATTATTATTATTATTTTTATTATTAATATTATTATTACCATTATTTTCTTATATCTTTCACTGGCTGGATGTTCAAACATTTTTCTTTTCTTCTTAATCCTCTTTTTTTCGTTTCTGTTGTCTCTGTTTACTTTTTAAGTATATATACGTACATGCGTATACTTGTGTATATATATATACATACAGAAAATTCGCTGCTCTTTTAAATTTTGATACAAAAAGGTACGCATTCCATTTAAAAAGTTCAAGGTTACCTTGATATCTCGTAAACAAATAGATTATTTAAAAAAAAATCGTTTCAGCATCATATGTTCCCTTCAATACCGTGCAATTTCTACATAAAACACATACTTTAAAAGTTATTCCAAGTGGACGACAAGTAATGTGACTCACCCTGTATATGTATGTATATATATATTTATTTTTAAATCTTTTGTCGTTCATTGGCATTTCGTTTCTCTTTATTTTTTCCAAGTATTTCGAGTTTTGTAACATTGCATCGAAAAAAAAAAAAAAAAATGATTTTGCGACAGATCCAATCGATACTGACTACGTCCGACAATTTTCTTTTCTTGTTCCTCCCTTTTTCTTTTTTACTACGTTATTCGTGCAAACGTGCACTATTTACGATCTTACTTGGAACATCGTACGCTTCTCGATTTCACTGTGTTACACTTAGTTTCATCATTACTATTATTATTATTATTATTATTATTATTCATTTCTTCTCTTCTTTGTTTCTTTTCTGGAATGTAACAAAAATTACTTGCGCTTTCAAATTGGTTGTACCCAACATGCATTGAATGCAATTTCTTCAGTTCGACGTCATGTAAAGAAAAAAAAAAAACTGTTACATTGTTGTATATTATAAAAAGAAAAAAAGTGACGTTCGAGAATTTGTATTTATTGCATTGAGAAGTACGACCAATGGGCTACGAAGTTTTCCCTGCGTCCGTTGGGTAGTGTTTGTTTTACCTGTCCTGTGTAAAAGTTCATCAGTAAATTTTGTTGATCGTCACTGAAATGTTACATATGCATATATATACACACGAATATTAGCGTTTAGGACATTTCTATCATTTGTACGGCAAACGATTACTATTATTATTATTACTATTATTGGTATCATTATCATCATTAGTATTATGAAAAACATATGTTCATAGTGTATTTTTCAAGTTTGCGCGCAAATTTTTATCGAGAGGCGAAAAAAAACCGAAAATCTTTC